GCTATAATAAAACCAAAGAGCCTTTTCAGACGTGCGTTTCTTCACTCTCTCTATATCTGTTTGTACCCACAAACCGAACAATATTACAGAATCTACAGTCCATGTTAATGTCTGAGAAAGAACAATTAATATTTATCTTGTTGACTCGAATTAGTTTTAGGCTTACCTGTCTTCAGAACAAGATCTAGATTAGATCCAGCAGCAGAACTAGAAGAATGTTCTTTCTCGTCTTGCATCAACTCAATCAATGTTTCTACTTTCTCTTTCCTACTTTCCTGTCAATTTTTGCCTGTCATAGTTCAGAGTTCAGAGTTCGTCTTGGGTGCGTCATGGGTAGATTGCAGCAATTGCAGCGACAGTCTATTTTTAACACTAGGTTATTTCCGTCTTATCGGGTCTTATTCCGTATAATGTCTTGGGTGGAATGCTGTTGTTGTGCTAATAGTGGAAGAAAGATAAGGGTAGACCCTAAAAAAATTGCAACAAAAATGAAACGTATATGGTTCAACAGATATAAAATTGCATGTAATAACATATTAAAAAGGCCGGCACTATTTCTCCGAACGTTCGGGAAAATAAAGCTGGGCACTATTTCTCCGAACGTTCGGGAAAATAAAGCTAGGCACTATTTCTCCGAACGTTCGGGAAAATAAAGCTGGGCACTATTTCTCCGAAAACTCTGAAATCACATCCTTTCTCGCAAATTTCGGATATTATATAGATCTATAATTATAGTATAAGCCTACCAGAGATTGTTCGTATACAATATGGTTCAAGCGGTCCAAAAAATGTCCGCAGTAAATATTTATATAAAGAAATGCTACAATTCCAAACAGTTTTTCGCTACAGATATGGCGTGTTGCCTATGAAGGGTGCTGCTCTTAAACGTAATGTGTTGTGTTCACTCGTGTGCTGTCTAGATCTAGATCTAGATCTACGGAGGGTTATTGATAACGACACATAGAACTGGCATCTGCGTTTGTCACTGCTGCGACCAATGTACTGACACTGGCAAAGCCCCTTAATGTGTGTGATTCCATAATTTAGCCTACATGTAATATCCTGTCCTTTTTTTTTTTAAATTACGCACATTGAGGGTTAAAACAGCCTATCTTCTTCGGACAGATCTAGATCTAAGTAGTCAAAATATTTTTTTCTCCCCAAAATCACTTCTTTTGGATGAAATTAATCAAAAAGTACCACTCAACACATGTATAGGTTTATTCCAAATGCAATTCTGAATAATTCCATAGAAGTTAAGCGTATTTTTTTTCTGTTTGTGATCCTTTTTTCAAAATTATTTTTAAAATTATTTTTTTTCAATATCGGATGTTATGATCCAAATGTACAAATATTATGGAATATATGTAAATAACTGCACATTTTTCAATATTTTCCTGTTCTATATACAGTTATGGTTATTTTGAGGTATCATTTGACTAGGTGCAAACATATTTTTTTAGTTTCACCTGAGATTATAAATTTTTTATTTTCCAATTTTATCCGCATCCAATCACAATTGTGTTGCATAATCGCCTCTTACAGGAACCAAAGTTGAAAAATACGCAAATAAATAATGCAGATGTATTCTACAAACCATACTGAAAATGTTGGTATATAAAATGTTGATATTTATTTGAATTATGGCCCCAAAGACCTGTGAACTGCACACTAATCGTCATCTCATTTCGCCCTCCCGAAAAGACTTCGTCCACAAGCCGAAAATAATACGTAGCAAATGAGTTTAAAAAGCGTTAAAAGTTGTCAAATAAGCAAAATTTATGTTACGACCAAATAGGTTTATCATACTTGCTTGACGCGAGAATGTTTACGTAATTTGTACGGATTTTCCCGAAAATGAAGTAATTTGTAATCGTCATCGGTATCAGCGCTTTTTATGTAAAAAGTATGGGAAGCCAATATTATATTAAGAATACGTTTTCTCACATTCTCAGCCTTTCAGTGGATATTTGTTTACAGTGTAATTTCCCTCTAAAGAATTTCCCCTTGTGCAATTGACATAACAAGGTGTGAATATTATTTTGGCCGTTGTACAACATATAAAGAATAATATAGATGGGACTGAAGGGCACTAAGTGCGCATTTCGTGTCACTGATACGTGCAAAATCTTTTTGCAAAACATAGATGAGAAAGACTAGTCACAGTCCAGCTTAGTTAACAGGCTGAAACGCAAACTTCGGTTAAGTCTCCACAGGGGCGAAGGCTGACTTGTTTGACAGGGTAATCAAAGTGAAACGGGACCAGATATGGCCTGTAGATATCACACAAGAATCTTACTCGAGGCGGTGACTCTGAGTTGTGAATGAAAACAAATCCGGAATTCATATTGTATGTTCAACCGCCAAAATAATCGGGAAAGTATCTTATTAAATATCAGTTCCAACTAAAATTAAATTTAACTTTAGATGTGAATACATAAACACAAAGCAAAGAAGCAGAGACGTCAGTACTAGATCTATATGTTATAGATCTACCAGTGAGTCTAACTCTTTGGTAGAACATGACAATTATCATTTTTTAAATTTTACATTTGGCTGTTTTTGTTAGCCTTCCGCGGCCAGGAGCTGGTGTCATAATCGAGGTCACGATCTGATTATAGGACAGTAAAAAGTCGAGGAAAAAAAGCAAGTACTTGCAACAGTGAAGAGATTGTTAGGAGTTAGTTCCCCTCACATTTGTGAGGTAGACTCGACCAGTGTTAGTTAGCTTACATAATCAGGGCTTGAGATTGATTTTAACTGTGATCCCGAAGGGGTGAACAGGGTATATGTGGCAATGAAACAGCTTAGACTGCTATGCACATGTTCCCTTCAACTATATTGCTGGACTCTTCCAGCCTCACTTTAAGCTTACTTAATCAAAGCTTGCGACTGCTTATGGAGTGGCCCGAGAGGGGTGAGGAGGCTATTTCTGTGGCCGTGAAACCGTTTTGAATGTTAGGCATACTGTTCATTGTTGATTACGAACGTCTTTTGACATTTAATTTAAGAGGTTTACGTTTATGGATGAATTTGACAGCGAAAATGTTTTAAAATTAGGAAGGGAAGCAGTGATTATTTGATTATATAGACGCTTCGCCCCTGAGTCTCCAAGAGTTCCAGCACCCGCTGATTGTTTAAGGTCTGAAAAGAAAACTTTGCAGTCAAGCAAAGTCATAGACCTATAATGTCTTCCGCGTGTGAACCGAGACCCGAAGTCAGGACACAATAAAGAAAGTACGAACGGACAAAAATATTCTTGGTTGTTTTTATTCGGTTGCGACTTCAGAATTTTCAAGTAGTCACCACTTTCTGTAACATTAGAAGTTGCATTTTTTTTAAAGGACATCATTGAGGCCTCAATATGTTTTAAAGATTTATAGATGCCGTTCATTATGTTGTATCCTCTCTAAAGGCAAATTAATTTGAGCAGATCAATATTCGGAATCTGATGACCATTTGAGAAGACCATCAGTACGAGGTGAAGGGCTTAATTTTGTATGGACCACAGTACCCGAAAAAGAAAAACTGATAGGCGCAGGGGAAAACATTACATAATGAATAGCGGAGGTTGATGGGGAGTTGTTGTTGTTACATTTCAGTAATCGGCTTCTTCAATTATACGAATGCGAGGATTTTATGAAACACCAAAGGGCATTAAGGATGCCAGGCAGAAGCAAATTGTCTAGTCAGCTCGTCAATTGATAAAAAATCTACATTTGAAAAAGAAGTCTATCCATAAGTAAATCTAATTGGATATATATTATGGAGAAGAAAAGGCGCTAACTTGGTGGTCTCTTTGGGCTGTTTCTTGAAACTGTCAATATGTACTACGATCCACGAATGAAAATAGTTGCCAGCCGACCGAGATCTATGGTTGCTCCCCTCCTTATTGAAAGGTTAGTATTTTTTAATCGCCACTTCTCCTCAAGGCAGGCCTCAATTGTGAACTCAATGAACGCACTGGGACTCTGCTCCCCATACCGAGAGGCTCAAAGATTTAACTTGAATGCTGCTGTTGGGTCACTCACTGGAAATATTCACGACTATAGCACACAGCTGTACTCAGTTTGAGGCATTCAAACTTTGACCACAATATAAGGACTCCAGATGGAGAAAGGACATTCATGGCAGGGGGGATGACAGCAGCGCTCACACATACTGAACTGAAGAAAACGTCCATACCCCGGTCATCAGTATAAAACTCCATCACATTCCAGGTGGTTCTATATAGGGAAGCCTCAAGGGAGCGCGAAGACTGGGATACAATAGAGTATCATTCTTTCTTTAAGAAAGTTTCTTGAAATCTATCAGTGCACTTTCAGATAGGCTACCATTTTTCACATTTCAATTCAAATGGACAAGAAATCAATGTCACACGTACTTCTCTAAACTGTGAGATATTTAGGTAAATTAGACTGCAGTTCAATGAAATGCATCTGCAAGAAAAATGAAACAGATTGCTATCCTGCCTTCAAATTTCTGCTTCTTGTTCTTCTTGTTCTTCTTGTTCTTCTTGTTCTTCTTGTTCTTCTTGTTCTTCTTGTTCTTGTTCTTGTTCTTGTTCTTCTTCTTCTTGTTCTTCTTGTTCTTCTTGTTCTTCTTCTTGTTCTTCTTGTTCTTCTTGTTCTTCTTCTTCTTCTTCTTCTTCTTCTTCTTCTTCTTCTTCTTCTTCTTCTTCTTCTTCTTCTTCTTCTTCTTCTTCTTCTTCTTCTTCTTCTTCTTGTTCTTCTTGTTCTTCTTCTTGTTCTTCTTGTTCTTCTTCTTGTTCTTCTTCTTGTTCTTGTTCTTCTTGTTCTTGTTCTTGTTCTTGTTCTTGTTCTTCTTCTTCTTCTTCTTCTTCTTCTTCTTCTTCTTCTTCTTCTTGTTCTTCTTCTTGTTCTTCTTCTTGTTCTTCTTCTTCTTCTTCTTCTTCTTCTTCTTCTTCTTCTTCTTCTTCTTCTT